GAGTAGGACTAGCCCCCCTAATACTAAACACCCCGGGATGAATTAGTTTTTAGTATTAGGGGGGAGAACCCACAAATGGTAGGTTGATTTTTGAATTGTTTTTTAAAGGGGATCAATTAAAAGTCAAATTGGCCAAACTGAAATTTTCGGAAATTGGAGATGGATGCCTGTTTTTAGTATTAGGGGGACGTTTAGTATTAGGAGGAAGGGATTATAGAGTATTTACAATGTGATATTCCATAGTTGCGTTGAATTATGTCAACACCTTTTTTCGAAAAGGGTTTGCCCCGACTTGTGGCCTTGCGGGAGGCCCTTGTGACCAGATATTTCGATACTCAGTCCATTAATTTTTGAGCTGACGGCTGTGCATGGCTGCCCTTTTGGTGATTGATGACCTTGGCTCAAAGGCCACGGTTAGTTCCAAGCTCATTTGGTACCCCTGGTGACCTGGGGTGCACCAGCTCACCTTCATTCCCATGAACTGACGGGCCCACTATTCTACATATAATTGCTCACTTGAAATCTCCAATGAGGACATGAGCTACGTATTTTATATTATATAATTTGTTTATATTTGTTTTCTTGGATCAGGACTGGAGGACTTGAAGCGGTGACCCATGAACTCATCCAGGGTTCAATGGGCATGGACTGAAGAATGACTCTTTGAGTCGACACTGATGCGGTCAACTGCATTGGTGCTTGACGGAAGTGGATGGACAGATTTTGCGAACTTTGTGCCCACCTGTGTGGCAAGCCAACTCGACATGTATGTTATAAATTATAAATAGAGTCATCCATTAACTTATATATATATATATATGTATAAATATATTATATGATGATGAGAGATTTTTATGTACATATATGTATGTGTATATAGATAGACGTATATACATTTGTTGGCATTATATATATATATGTGTGTGTGTAACATTCACATCAGGTCAATAACCACCCCTACACTAAAGTGAGTCAAATCCGGGACAGATGAATAAACCCACCCTGTAATAAAGTACGCCAACATATATTTTTGATCCTTTTTTCCCAGTTCTTTTAATGTGGTGGGCCCTTAAATAGAGAGTTTAAATCCGTTTGCCCTTAATTTTTCTGGTTCAGCTAAAGTACTTCAACCCTTTCCCTTTCAAAATCCATAAATATCCATTGAACTGGCAACGCCGGTTTGAATTTTGCTTCCCCCGATAAGCCGATAAACCGAGAGTCCACCCGATAACCCGATATCCCCGCGGACTCTGGCCCACCCGATCCCAGACTCCTTTTGGACTCCTTAATCGGTGGATCGGCGCAGGCCGCTTTGAACCGGCAATGCTAGTACGCTTGATTGATTTCTTTATTGATTAACTATTAACATCTATTACCCCCTTATTCAAAAAGAGGACAAATGCAGGGGTGAGCATTAAAGCACCTCGGAACCACAATAAATTCAATGCCTTGCCACCCTTGATAAAGTTACTCAATTTTTCTGTGGGGATTTAGGCTCAATATAATTATTCAATTTTCTACAACCCCTAGTAAATTACTTTTGCTATCTCAACTCTGTTGAAGAGCCAAACCTTACCATGGTGGCCCTCTAAATAAAGTGCTTCAATTTTGGGAACCTACCTAAAATCAAAGAAAGGTCAAGAAACTCAATTTTAAACAAATTAGATTCCATTTCAAGTTTAAACGGAAGCGCGTGGAAGTGCTTAGAATTAATTCAAATTTGATCCAAAATAAGTTCAATTCAACTCGGTCCCAGTTCCATTTCAAATCAAATTCAAATACAGTCAAACCAGTCAAAATCAAATGAGAATCACTTCAAATGTAAAAATAATATACATCTCCATTTCCAGACAGCTTTCCATGAATACACTTCTCAACATGGATTCGTTTTCAATTATGGCACTGTTTGGCAATATTATATAATACGTATGTTAAAACATTTCCAGGGACCCCAAACATGTGTTTGGCCGCAACGTTTCTATGATGTTGATTATGTTTGAGGGGTGGTCAAGAGAAAAAGTGTATTTAGGTGTATGTGTATACATATATGTTTTTTTTGTGTGTGTACTGGCACGTGCATCTCAGACATGCTGTGACATCTGTGACGTGTTCACAAAAATCTGTCTTTCCATTCTCATCGTGTCTTCTTGCATGGTTTTGGTTCAAGATGAATTGAAACCTGCAATATCTCAGGAAGCCACCAGGCACAGCGATCAGCCAGGGTCATGCGGATTGCTAGATCATCTAGATCGGCAATCACAAAATGAGTTTGAAACCTTGGCGCTGCGCTGGGGTGACAGCATCAGTTTCTTCATGTTTCGCTGTTTACTCCTCTGAGTTGAGCCTTGCCTCGTTGCTCACCCATGTGCTTGTTGTTTCTTCTCCATGCTGGGACAGGTTTCATCATTACTATGCCAAAAAAAAGCCAATACCAAATGCGCAGACTTGATCTTTAAGATTCTTTGAGGTCATTCATTGCAGGGGTGTTTGAGATGTTTGAGCCTAGGTGCCATTAGCAGACACCTGTTTTCCTTGCAACGCATCATTGCATGTCACCCCGTGAGCAACTCCACACATTCTAGCATCATATCAGCCATGTTTGATGGCTGGCGGGTGCTATGGCTGGGTCACCTGAAACAGGATTGGGCTGGAAATTGAGATCACCTGATAGCAACCACAAGACCACTGAGTGTTTGGGATGTCCGGTGGAACTCATGCAGGAAAAGATTCATATAGATTCAAGATGATTCAAGTCATTTCATCCTTCAGCTTTTTGATGCCTTGCTCAGTACAGGGAACTGCTGCGACAGCAAGGGTCGCTGCTAGCTTTGGAGAACGCATTTGCTTGGACATGTTGGGAACCTTTGACTGACCGTGGGTGATTACTACATGATTGATGTATATTGATGCAATATATACTGGTACATGTTCTAAAGTTCTAACATAATAGGATCTTTGTAAATCATATGGTAATAGTGCTTTTATTCCCGAAAGCTCCTGCGAAGGGTTTTTCCCAAAGAACTGCTGCCAAAATCAATTTCTTAAATCATGCGCACGTCATCTCCCACATCCTTTACATCGCCAACATCATCTACATCAACTTCAATGAACTTCATCTACATCACACATATTAATTATCTACATCATGTTATTCACACAGGAGTTCTTACAAAGGAGTTTTACACAAGAGTTCTTACACAGGGGTCACAGGAGTTGTTCTACGGGAGTTGTTACACAGAAGTTAACTTCTAGGTGATCTACTTCTGAAAACTCCTACAAAACTCCTACAAAACTCCTACTTCCCAAGTTCTTCTTTTTTTTTTTCTTCAGGCAGCAGGGGCAGCCAAAAACCTGTTTGCGAAACATGATCCTCTGCGGAGATCGCGCATGTCGGACGCACAAACGTGTGGTGAACTGCGAATTTTGTGGGTGACGGCGCCGCCCTTTCGCACGAAATGCATGTCAAAAACTGGTGTAAAATTGCGATTCAACGTCGTGGCAAGGGTTTGCAAATAGCTCCTCAGTGTAAAAGCTTCTTTGTGGAAAAGCTTCTGCGTGCAAAACCTTCTGTGTTTAAAAGCTCCTCTTTGATCCTCTGTGTAAAGACTTCTTTGTGCAAAAGCTTCTCTGTATAAAAGAGTTTGTGTGCAAAAGCTCCTCTGTGTAAAGACGTGTAAAAGCTTCCGTGTGTAAAGGCGTTTGTGTGTAAAAGCTCCTCTGTGTAAAGACTCCTCTGTAAAAGCTTCTGTGTGCGTGTATGTAAACCTTCTGTGTGTAGAAGCTCCTCTGTGTAAAGACTTCTCTGTGTAAAAGCTTCGTCTGTGTAAAGACTTCTCCGTGCAAAAGATTCCTTTGTGTAAAGACTTCTCCGTGCAAAAACATCAAAATCTTCTGTGTAAAAGCGTCTGTGCGTAAACGAGTCTGTGTGTAAGGGCCCCTCTGTGTCAAAGCCTCTGTGTGTAAACTCCTCTATGTGTAAAAGCGTTTGTGCGTAAAAAATCGTAAAAACTTCTGCTTGTAAAAGCTCCTCTGTGTAAAGACTTCTCTGTAAAAGTTTCTGTGTGTAAAATTGTGTAAATACGTTTGCGTGTCAAAGCTCCTCTGCGCAAAGGCTTCTCTGGGCAAAAGCTTTTGTGTAATTTCCTTGCGTCATCGCAGCCATCCGAAGAAACGCCATGGGGACGCACAGATATACATACGATATAATAACTTCATAATGACTCAGTGTGAATTCATGACTTAACCATTATGCACCCACAACCTCATTTATTATTCATCATCCTTCATCATCATTCATCTTCATACTTTCTCCTCCATCCTCTTTTGATCTACTCCCTCCTGCTTTTCTTTCGGGCCACACTGTCGTCTAGTTTCTCTCTTCTTGACTATCTAAATTGTTCAAAACGGGCTGCCTCCGTGAGAAGATCTAGCCCGTTGGCCCAGCTGCCTGTCATTTGGCCTTGCCATTTTGCTTGCGACCAGAGCCCGAACGGACTTGCTTACTTGAAAGGCGTGGAGAGAAAATCCTCCGAGCGCGCTTGAACTTTGCACGTGGGTTCTTGAAGCATCAACCTCTGCATGGAGCACGTCGGGCTAAATCAGGACAAATGGCCAGAGTTTAGAGCAGGAGAAACTTGAACCTTTGCGCTGCGTTGCACAAAACTAATGCAAGGCTGGCTCATGAAAATTTATGTGAACCGTCGTGCTGTTTCAAACATGTAATGGCGTTGACTTGCCCAGCTTCTTAGAGCTCCATTGGTATACTATGGTCTATGGTAATTATGCTTAAATAATTTTAAATATATTTAATATTTAGTTTCATTTATTCAAGCATGCTCAGGTTAAGATGGTGCCGTAAGCAAAAAGAACTAGCAATGAAAACAGACCAAGACCACTTCACACCCATGAGGGCAGTTAGGCTTTGGCAAGACCCCCGTCCCATGATCACCCCATGCATCCCCATGCAAATTTGGCAATTTTATCCCATGACGAGCCATGTTTGCTTCGGTCGCTACAAGCTACGGCATTTTGTTGGCGATATCCGCCGCAGATTCTTCAAGGCACCTGAGCCTTGATCCGGCATCCGCTCTGCTGGCGCAAGCTTCAAGTCAGTTGGGGGCTATTGTCTTGAGAAGTTGCAAATAATTAGTCGAAACAGATTTTCAGACTGCTGCGGTCCTTTCTCATCATCTCTAAACGTCACCCACATGTTAAATGTGTCGAATCTGTAATGAAAACGGCAGTTGTCGCTGTAAGTTGATACTCTCGCCACGAAATTTGCTGACAGGTGTCCTTTGTGGATGGCTCAATCTACGTTGCCAAATGCAGGTTCAAACCACCCAGGGCAGATAGTTGTATGATGTGGTATGGAAAACAAACACATGGGTTAATCTGCAGATGAACACACGTGGCATGTACATAATTCTAGTTATAGTAGAGTGGATACGCGTATTTAATATATAGATTCATTCATGCACTCTCGCGCATATATGGACGCACGGACAGACGGACGGACAGACGGACGGACAGACAGACAGACGTACGTACGTACACGTACGTAACCACATACAAACACACATACACACATACATACACAAATACGCACATACACCACACACACACGTATATATATATATACATACACACATTTACTTACACACATATACATACACAGTAATACACACACACACACTCACACACACAAAACACATACAAACACACAGACAGACTGAATGACAGACTGACAGCCTGACAGACTGACAGACTGACAGGCCGACCGACCGACCGACCGTACGCACATACATGCATGCATTGCATTACCTTTCCTTACCTTACCTTTCCTTACCCTACCTTACCTTGCCTTACGCCACTACACTACTATACAGTACACTACAGTACATTACGTTACAGCACACTATGTTGCCTTGCATTGCATTGCATTACATTGCATTACATTGCATTCCATAGATACATGCATGCATGCATATATGGCAGTGCCAGCATATTTATTTTCATGTATACTCATTGATGTCACAGTAAGCACCCATATGTTACATATATATATATATACATATACATTACGGATTATATGGTATGCATATACCTTTTGCAATGAATCTTTGAAAAGGTCGTCCCAGATCAGTACCCAAATGGTGCTTCATGGAATTGAGCTTTTTAGCTTCTCTTTTTTTGCTTTAAACAGCCACATGGTTTTGTTCTATCTTTTGCGTTTTCGTTCTGTTTTGTTTGATCTTTGTTCAATTTTGTTTTGCCTTATTTCGTTCTAATGTTCTACCGTGTTTCATCTCATTCGTCTTACATCCCATCTTGTCTTGTCTTATCTTATCCACATATATATATATTATTATTTGCGCTCATGAAACTATGATCCAGAAGGATCTGGGCGCGCGCATGGATTCGCTAAAACAATGTTTGCATAATGCTGCAAAAGCAAGAAATGTTGCCATTGGTACAGATTATGCTGACCGCCCTTCAATGTTGCAGAACTGTTGCTGTCATGCTGTTGTCAATGTGGAAGGGTCGTCTGAAGGTATTGCAAGACTTCGCAGCAACCACTTCACCCGAACTCTAGCCGATTATCCTGCGCCCAGGACATTCCAACATCATAATTTGTATGATGCTTGTGTGGTGCTGCCGTTGGCGCACTAATGTTGTAGACCCAATGCTAAACTCTACCCCATTAACCAATATTGACCCATTTGGGCCGGTTCGGGGAAATTGAATTCCAAACCCCAAGCAAACTAGCCCTCATCAGATTTCATAAGCGCCATCATGTATAGCAAAAACATAGCTTTTGGGGGAGTGTACGGCCTTACATGGGGATATATCCGAACTCATAGCTGATATAATTGTAGAGCTTCGCACACCGGCGATGCCTGTAGGGGTCGGGGGAGGGAAAGAGAGAGGGGGATTTCATCCCCTGTGAATCAAATGCTGGGTCTATTTGCTGACATTTGCGGTAAACCTTGTTTTTTGTTTTTTTTGACGTCCGTATGACTTATTTGACGTCCGTAGTCAAAAATTGGCAACATTTGCGGGAACCATAATTTTACCGTAAAATGATGTAAAATGCGGTGAGCACGAGCGAAGAGTAACAGGGGCTGATACAAGATGAGGGGTCAAACGTTTTGTCACGGTATTTTCGACAAATGTCATAATTTTAAGTGGCAAAAAGATGATTCGTCACGATTTGTCACGATTTTGAACTACATAGGGGCCATGATCAACTCGCATGCGCATCTTCGAAACAAAGGATGTCTGCGTTTTTCATCAATTTCCGACAAAATCTGGTGGATTTCCGACAGATTCCAACAAATGTCACCAAAATCAAGCGTTAACGTAGATGTAGCCGTATTTTGACTACATTGCTATTTTTGATCTATATGCCGACATCGATTCTCAGGGATCTGAACTAGGTAAGAATCTTCATTGTCGTCGTTGTCGTCGTTGTCGTTGTTGTCGTCGTCTTCGTCGTCGTCGGCGTCGTCGTCGTCGTTGTTGTTATTGTTGTTATAGCTGTTGCTGCTTGGTCCTGTTGTCGTTGTCGTTGTTATCTTTGTAGTTGGTCTTTTTGCAAACCCCCCAAAATCGTCAAACCGACAGGTTTTGCAAACCCCAAAAAGCGTCAAATAGGCGGTGTTTTCGCGATTTTTCACGTTCTCGGAACAAAAAAACACCGTAATACCGATGTTTTTGGCTCCGCGCCAACGCAAAACCACGGTATGTACGAGGTTTTGAGCCTCTGCTAGCAAAAATCATGGTATTTACAGTGTTGTGTGGCCATGTATTTACGCAGTTTCCAGCATGTTGTCAGAAGCTTTTTTTAGATGCCAAAGGCACAAAAACATTGTAAATTACATGATTTTTGCGCGTGGACAGTACCAAAAAAATATGAAAAATTGAGCCCAACAAGGACCTCCAAAACGCATCTTCGAATTTTACCCTCTTTTTTCCCACCCCGAACCCCGAAAAATGTGAAAACCCCAGCACCCTGAAGGATTTTCGAAAAGGTCGGCGGCACCGGCGCGCCCCCGGGTAGCTAAAGCTATGCGCTTAGCAACACCACCAAACGGCGAGGCATCGCCGGAATGGGCTAACGACCTGGTGCCGCCGACCCCCCTTTGAAAGGGGGGCATGGATTGTGCTGGCTCAGAACATGAAACAACCAGAGCAAGCACGACACAGCATATAGGAATATCACGGAATAACTTAATTTATACGGATCCTTCAAGATACCGAAGGAAGACATCCTGTTTATTTTCTCAGGAGTTACTGTTACGTTTTATTGAGGATCATCAGGTACTTTGTTGAGTTTGGGCCCCCGGCCACCCGGAGCTGAAGCTGCAACAGTTTCGCTACCCTTGGCAAGGGGGGCAAGCTGCAGCGGCACGTTTCAAGCCTGGTCGAAAAGTTTAAAAACCCTTTAGTAAGGAAGTCACTTCAGACAAATCCTATTTAGAGACCTTAGAGAACCAAGGTTGGTAAACCTAGCAAGGTTTGGACCCTGGCCGCCTGGAGCTGAAGCTGGAGCAGTTTCGCTACCCTTGGCAAGGGGGGCAAGCTGCAGCGACACGTTTCAAGGCTGTTTCAAGGCTTCAAGGTTGTGCGAACCGTGCCAACCAGCAGTCACCTGGAGCTGAAGCTGCAGGCTGCAGCAGTTTCAAGTTGCACCAGCACGTCTCAAGGCTGGACGAAATGCGCCAACCAGCAGTTTCGAAACGTATAGAAAGGAGGTTTTGGCACTCAAGCCGCAACACTTCAGAAATTTTATCCTTTAAACCCTATATAGAACCAGCAGCAGTTTCGCTACCCTTGGCAAGGGGGGCAAGTTGCATGTTGCACACCTGCGATTTAGAGCCTAGAGACCCTATAGAACCAAGGTTGGTGAACTTAGCAAGATGTGGACCCTGGCCACCTGTAGCTGAAGCTGCAGCAGTTTTGCAACCCTTGGCAAGGGGGGCAACGTTTCGAGGCTGTTTCAAGGTTGGGCGAAATGGCTAACCAGCAGTCACCTGGAGCTGAAGCTACAAGCTGCGCTACATCTCGCACAGGTGGTCAAGGTTTATGTTGCACACCTGCGGTGGCCCCGGGCGCGGCCCCGCCTAGGCCAAAGCTAGGCAGGGGTCGGCGGATATAGAACATGAGTAAATGTATATACTATATGATATATGGGTGTTCTAATCGCCGTGAAATCAACAGAACCTCAATGATACGAACCCGCTAATAGAACATTTTCACCGCATAGAATTACAATCGTTAGCAATCGCTGAAAGCAGGCAGCGGTGTCTTCAGCCACCAGCCCACGCAGAATCGCTCCGTGGTGCTGCAGCTGCCAGCTCGCTTAGCGGAGCTCTCGCAGCCCCTCAGATCATCTGGCTTGAACAACGATGTTAGATTAGATTACCAGAGGCTATTTGGCAATGAGATCTCAGATAATTACTGTATAGTTTCACAGATCGGAAAAATTAAACGCCCATCCTGATAACATTCCATTTTCCATATATGCATATAAATATATATATATATTATATTATATATATATTATATATATAATATATAATATATATTATATATTATATATTATATATTATATATATATATATTATATTATATATATGTGTGTGTGTGATTAATCTATGTGACAAGGTTCCATTCTATTCGAATGCATTTGTGCACCCATGTGCGTGTGAAATGGCGGACCTGTTTGTGAACTGTTGAATTCACTGTTCCAAAATTTGCCCAAAGGATTCAACTGCATGGAGTTCAGCATTAGGGTCCACAGGCCACAATATTAAACCGTACGTGTCCAATAGCACAGGTCAGCAATTTGTGCAACGAGGTGAAAAGTGAAACGGGATGAAACTGATGTGAATCTTCAATGGAAACCCTAAAGACCTCTGCAGATACCACGGCCATTATTTGCATTTTTTTTTGCGCAATTGCATGTATCACCACTGTTTCAGTTGTTTTCTGAGGCTGTCTTCCTACGTCTTCGGGATGCAAAGTGATGGTGAGGCAAAACATGTCGGGGGATGTAAGCGCCATGCACACTGGATGATGTTCGTGCTTACAGGTGGAAGTGATGAAGGATGATGAAGTTCAGATCTAGATTTTGTGCATTTTGAGACCCATCGCCATTGAAAATGATGGAAACAATGGCTGAAAGCTTGAGCCAAGGCGATGAGCCAAGTGATGCTTGGTGTGGGTTCTTTGGTGAATCACGGTGCATCCAATCAGCAGGTCCCGCAGCCGAGCTCGGATGCCTCGTTTCCTCCGATGTTTTGGATCCAAGTATTCTTTGCTACCTAAAAGTGGTCAATGGTGGTCGTGTCACTGTCGAATTTTCAGTCCAAGTGCAGGATCTGGCTGGGCCACCTGTTGGTTTTTTTTTGAGTCTGTGAGTCTGTTGTGCTTGGGTTGGCTTTGACCTGCGAGGTCAACTGCGATCTGCAGCTGGATTACCAGGGTTTCGGAATCCTGAGGGCAAGGAGGGAGATCACACCAGGCCCGGCATACGTTCATGGGATTTCCTGGAAAGGCAAAACAAATTGAAACAATCAACTGAAAAATGGTTCGTTTGCAATAACCATCGACATTGGATGAGCTATGACCTCGCTACTTGGCCTATTCTCCTCATTCTCAAAGCAGTATGTAAATGTAGCTATGATGTAGGTGGCTCTTGTGAGATGCCCTCTCACTGCATTGAGCCAGGGGAAGAGCTCTTCATTTCTTATGGCTCCAGCGAATGGTTTACTGACCGCGGCTTGGTGTCGCAGCCGGTGCAGACACCCGTCGACAGGCAAGCTGGAGGCATTGGACGAGGGAGACAAAGATTGAGATGGTGGGAGACAGAGAGTCATTTGCCTTCCCCCATTCTATAGACAAAGAATATCATATCCTACCTGATGTGGTCCTACCTATGTCATATCATTTGACATTTTTGGTGGTGGCGAACTCGTGGAGTAGGTGCATGTTTGTTTGGTTGCTGCAGTGCTGCATTCAAAGCTTGTCATCAAGTGCTACTGTTTCGCCATACTTTTCTATCCTGTGTGTGTATCAGTTCATCATTTAGGTTGTTTGTTCATTTGGGAACGGACTAGCTTCTTCTGTTCATTTATGGGCGGACTAGCTGTAGTTGGACGTTGAATTGGGAAGCTCCTTTTACTTGTTCCCAACTGGGACTTGCATACACCCACTTGGTTATAGCATGTGACTGTGATATATCAGGATCACACTAAACTAGTATCTTACGAGCACACTATCCAACAGCTTCTTTCCCTGCAAACGGGCGAACCCAAAGGGCTTAGGGTCTTTCAGGATCTCAATCAGCCGGCAAATAGCTTGACATCATCTCAGGATCATCCGTGGCTACAGAGCGCCATTAAGTCCCTAAGTGAGCAGAGTTCAATACCCCTACAGGATTTGACAGTAATAAAGAACAGTTACCGTTCTTTTGAAATCTTGCTTTTTTCGAAAGTTTTGCGACGTTTTGCGCACAACTTTCGTAGTGTCAATCGCTGTTTTACAATGAATTTGAATGTCATTTCTGTTCTATAAATTTGTCAGCTGCTGTTACCACCTGCACATACATACCCCCATATGTGCATATTGCACAATACATCTACTGTCCACAACAGTAATTATAGAACACACAATTTTAGAACAGAACGCAAAAATGATATATATATATAAATACATCTCTCTCTCTATGAGTGGAAAGACCATTACTATTATGAAACTATGTTACAAAACCAGGGGCCCAACAAGAACTATAGAACAAACCAGAATTCTATATACATGTTTTTGGATTTTCCCTAGTTTTCTGGGGATTTGGGAAGTATCGAACAAATAATGGGTACAGTAACTTTCTGTACTTTCGTAATCCTCAAGTTCCGTTCTATAATTCCGTCACATCCCATACCGTTGGCCCATACCATAAATCACATTAATATTACTCAATATTATACTGGGGATCAATACAATCCATTGCGGGGATCACTGTTTTCCAGCCAGTAGAATGGAAAGACAGAGGGTTTTGAACACTCAAGTCATTTTGGGTGCCGGGAGGCCATTGCTTGAGCCACTTGCAGCCAGATCCGTCGTCATTGGCCCTTCTGGCAGCGTCCCAAATCGTGGCTGAGGTGTGGACATGACACCACGGTGATGCAGAAAGTATCACCAACTGGCAGTATCACCAGGCAACTGCGCAGTGTGATTCAGATGACTAGATCTTTACTGTGCAAAGGCATAAAGGCCGATTAGAGGCCGATTCCGAAGGTGGTTCCATGTGGTTCCATGTGATTCTCATTTCCAGTTGGCTAATGCACGCAGGAACACTTGAGGACTCCAGCCTTTCTGATCGCTTCAGATGTCGCCCACGAGTCGATGCTACCATATGCCCTGGTAGTTGAAGAGGCTGCAGCACTGGCTGATGTGAGGACAACTAGCACAACACACCATTCTATGCGCCACGAAGCCAGGTGATGATTTTGCCGCTTTGGCCTGGGCGCTTGGCCAAGGAAGACAAACAGCACCCTGCGAACGAAGCTTGGATTGCTGAACAGGTTGCAGGGGGCTCCGGAATCTTGACAACATTGCTGTGTTTTCTATGTTTGCATTTCTCATTGTTTCTCTGTTCATGCTTCAGTACCTGTGGTTTTATCCCCCCGCAGTCCACCTGTGCGTGGCTCTTTCCCGTTGATGGCTTGGGTCTGGCTAGGGAAGCTTGAAGTGGGCGCTGGAATGGTAGGTGTGAGGATGAAAGGAGAGGCTGGGGTTGAGCGGGTGATTCGCCAACTTTCAGTCCGCAACTGAGGTGAGGCTTGAAGTATTGGCTGATGGCCTGCCGGTACATTTGGCCAATGTCAAGGCCCGCAGTACGACTTTGGGACCCACATGACAATCTTTGTTCATTTTGCTTTTGGTAGACCATCGCAACTATATAATCAGACCATGTCAGACCAATATATAATAAAGACATGTGCGCACATATCACATGACACACACACACACACACACGCGTGCACGCACGCAATATATAATATCTATATACATCATGTATATATATATGTGTGTATATATATATAATTATGCAGACAGCTACATGATGTACCATGTCCATCCCCAGCATTCACCTGGCTTGGGAGGATAGTGAATGATATTAAAATTAATATGATATCCCTTTCCAGACAGCTGCTAGGCTCATGACGTTTGCGATTCAACTGGGCAGCTTGGACCGATGGCCTGGGGTCGAAGTTCAAAAACATATAATAAAATAGTCCCTATACGCCCTATACAAGAAATCAACATCCGTGGCTGGGGATTTTGCAGTTTTCCACCATTATCACTTTTGATTAGTACAACAGTAGCACAACATCTTGTGGAATTCTTTCTCATTGCGCTGCAGCAAATCCCAGACATGGAGCCAAGTCCAGGACGCGCATCGATGTGGTGATGACTGCCCTGCGAGACATTTCCAAAGGAGAGCGGCTCATCGCTGCAGATTGCGCGGAAGGCCATCCTTGATACGGATGCATATCATATGGATAGCTGGATGGTGTGGATACCTTGGCTTATTTTCTCAATGGGCTGACGTGGAGGACCAGTTGATTGCCATCAATGTGATGTGCAGGCTGCCTGTTCCCTTCCGGTTGGGCTACCAACCTGACTGAACGGAGGCATGGCTGGCAGTTGCCGAAACATGCAATGCCACAATTCCAGAATTCCACCATCGGCGACCATCGGTGCTAACTCATATATATATATATAATGATGCTCTCGATATCTCTCGATCATTTTATATACTGTACCAGGAAGGGAATATTTCCACATCTGTTCAATGATTCAAACATCCTCCACAAATATCCATATGTCCATATGTTTGTTTCAGTCTTTCTGCCCTGTGTTTCTGTTTACTTTCCACTTCTGTGCCATGTTGTCTGCGGTAATTTCCTTGACATCCAATGTCCTATTGGCAGGCAACAAGCTGCAGAAGCTGGTGATGTGCGGGCTCAGTTTCAGCTAGCCCAACGCTGGCGGCAAGGAACAGTATCATATTGACATATTGGCATTGGCATTGGCCAGGCAGCCGAAGACAATGCAACCAATAGATACCAATGGCCGCAAACATGAGATACCGACAGATGACATGCAAACATGCGAAAACATGGCTCTGACTCCCATGTTTTGTTTCTTTCCTTGAACTTTTCAGATCCATGCCTGGATAATCCTGGATATTCGGCAGGATGTGTGGGTATTTTCGAGCACTGGCCAAATCCAATGAGTTTGATGCAGAAACACTTGAAGCACCCAGAAGGATTTTTTCCTCGCAGAGCTCTTTGCATTTCTGTGTGTGTTGTTGCAAACGACCATTAACGATTGACCACAGCCGCCCCGCTGGTTTGCACCAAGACTCAGCTGCTCCACCGCAGGAGTTCCCTCGGCTGACATGGCAAACAGCACTGAGGCAGCACCCTGCTTTTCACAGGCTGCACCCTTTTCAACATGGAAAGGTGCTCAGTCTTTGTCTCAAAGAATTTATCCACTGTTATGAGTTATGAGGGTGATGAGGCAGTTTGGGGAGCACAGGATTCTAAAACTTGGCCGACGCGGCAGCTTTTGTAACCGGTCGGAGCCGCGGCACATTGCTGCAACTTGGAGGCTTTGACTTGGTACCTTCAAGCGGCCAAGCAGAACCACACTCAAGCCATGCTACAGCTGGGTGCTTTGCTCCACGATGGTGATAGGCAATGGGCACGTCATGGCATTCTAGAGTACATTATACAATATTATATTATATTATAACTTATAACTTATTACATTATATATATATTATTACATTATATAGAGTATCTTGCAGTCGGAGTTATTTTAGGCAGCGATGTGGTTGCCAGTTTGATTACTTTGGGGGTCCAGCGAGAGGCCAGCGTTGCGCCAGACCCCACAGCATGATGAAGCCATGGCATACAGCATACAGCATAGTGTAAACCTATGCGCGAGATTGCGCGAGCACAATATAATCATGTACAGAATATGTATATCATAATATATATATATATCTACAGTATATAATTATATAATTATATAATTATATATACGCCCGTATGTATGCATATAATTATATATAAAACATATTCTCGGCATTTCTAGATATTTCCTGTGCAAGCACATGCTGTTTATATGATTATATGTGATATATGCATGATTATGTTTGCATACATGAAATGAACATATGTATATGCGTAAATGGGAATGTTTAAATCTGTTTCGCCAAATCTTAATTCGTTTCTCCTCAGCAGGTAACTTCTCTACATCATTTTTACTTATTATGCAGTTTCAACGGCTAAGGTTCTGTGCACAGACTTCTGTAGTCACGGCAAAAAGAATTGAAAATAGTGGATGTGGATGTGCAGGACATGGGCAAATAGTGAGGAGCTATTTTTGTCATCCATCGATTCCTCGAGTTGGCACCGCCAGTCTGCACCCGGGCAACGCCTCTTCAGCCTTTGATTGGTATCTTGCAGCAGCACAACGGGGTAGTGCCACTGGACAATTTCTGGTGGGTTTGGCTTACAGCAACGGAGAAGCTCGGCATTGTGGGCGGTTCCTGTTCTAGATTTTGGCGTGTAAGTATGTTTGCAGCATATGAATGTCCTTGGACTGAAGGATCAGATCTTGTGGAAATTCGATTGCTACTCAATGGAATTCGAAGCTGTGGAGCATGGTGAAGCACGGGGTTCCATGTTGAGGCATCGGACCGAGGTGGACCACGTTCTTCTCCGAGATGCATGGGATTGTATGGGTTTGTATGGGGCTGAGGATGGCGTTGCCAAGAACATTTCCAAGGCTAGCAAGTGGTTGAGCCTCTTGGCAAAAGCTGCATGTTTGGGGAATGATACGTCGACTCAGGATCTCAAAGCATTTTTTGATCCCATTGACAATGCCATCCTTTGATATCCTCAGGGGAATCTGAGGGAATCTCCCTGTTTACTCCTGTTTGGAGAACAGTGGAACATGTGGAACACTTTTTGAACAACACATATGGGCGTTTCTTGTTGTGGTGGAAGTGTGGATACCCTTGTTGAAGATCTCAAGGTTTGGCGGCATCGCAGGGCAGCTCCAATTTTGCCAAGGCATCCAAAGCGATGTGACCCGGAGAATGAGTTCAATGTTAAAGGGTGGCTTGTGTTTGTATGCCAAGCTTGTGTATGTTGCGTAGTATGATTGTGTGCTGTTGTTGATGTTGTTACAAGGTTGACATTGAATGTTTGTCCTTGAATTTTTGAAATGACTATTGTCATACTTCCTGTTGATGTCCGTAGGATATTTGTTGGGTTGGTGCACGTTGAGTTTCAACCACCCTGATGGTGACCTCAGATTCTTCCTTCGCAGTTTCCATGGCTTTAATCGCGCACGACCTGATAGTGATAGCATGTGATACCCAAGTTCTTTGCTGCGTCGCTTTGTATGTTGGGCTCTGCCGCAGAGAGTAGTTCTGTGACCTAGACTTTGTTGTTTAATTGAATCCTGAATTAGCAGAGAGCCTTCGATTCAAGATATTCAAGAACCATGTTATCAAGTCAAGCGAGATGGCTTGGTTATCAGCTGGGTTTTTAAGATGCATGCAGTCAACAGCAGCTGAATTAGAATCACACCAATTACAGAATATTAGCCTACATGCATTAGTATCATTTGTTGGCCTGTTTCACTAGAAGATGGCAGACTTGAATCTGGAGACCTGATCCCTGACCTGCTGTGCTAGGTATAACCTGGCTATATTCTACCGAGAAGGTTTGGGAGTTGCAAGAGATGTTGAGAAACTTGCCGCAGGGTTCTCCCAGGTCCGCCATGCATGTAGGTTCTCAAGAATGCCAAAGCAAATCGTTTGCCAATGGAATAGTGCCCCCCAAATTCAGCAGATTTCAACAATTTTCAACACAGACTAATCATTTGTGAATGAACCGTACATGGCTGAGACAAAGTTTTACTAAACACGTTCTAAACACAACTGATTGTTTGCCGTTCCTTGTTCGATCTATCCTTAGATGCATGTTCCTTTTTCCCATGAACTTTCTTCATAGACATTTGCAGGAGTTTTCTTCAAAAGCTTCCATGGTGCACGTGCTCCTCTGAAACTGTGTGATTTATATAGAATGATGTGTTTTTTAGTTGTTTGTTTTGTGACTTGTTTCCCTTCCCAGACCCGTGTTTTGTCTATGTCTGTCTTGCTGGCAACCCCCTTGCAACTTGTCCTTGCCACACCTTTCAAAACGAAACAGTGCATGATCATGCTCATGTCTTTTGACTTGCTTTTGGCAGGTCTGGTGAACCCACCAAATACTAAGGCCACAGAAGCAAGACCCATTCATAACTTTTGGTCATCAGCCATGTGCCACCAGTATCAACAGCTACTAAACTATTTCCTAGACTCCTAGACTAGTGTGTTGCCGTTCATCTAGATTTAAGGGAGGCTCCAAACAACACCCGGCGGGGAGGAGTAATAAAAGTTGTTTGTCCTCCTGCGGCTCCCTGCCTTGTATCTTCCAGAAAACAGAAATTGGGAGAATCACCCTTGGCCACTGGCATTTAGTCTCGTGAAGTTGAAATTTATTGACATATATATTGCCCAGGAAGGCTTTCTACTGGTGCAGAAAAGCGGCAGAGCAAGGTGACCACGACAAGGCAGACTCCTGCTAAATGTGGACCCAAGATGTTGATAGGGTAATTATATGCACAATATCTCTGAAACTGACGCTGCAAATCTGAGGAAGCTTCCTGATCCACGACTTTGTAATCAATTTCATGGGTTAATATTTCATTATATTTCATGAGCACCTGCCGGTCACCTGCCTGCTGCAAATTTTGCAGGCCATGTACAACCTCGCCACAGCCTACAGCCGTGGCGATGGCACATATGTTGATTTCGAAGAGGCAGCCAACTGGTATCAGCGCGCAGCTGATATGGGACACACCATGGCTGCTCGGTTTCTTTGTTTTTCTTATATATATATATATAATATCTTATTATATTATATATATATGTGTGTGTGTGTTTGGTCGAAAAACTGTTGAGCGGAATTCCCTCTCAATTTTTTTTGCCCAATTCTATTGTTTGCAAAGATCCCTGTCATTGAGGCTCAGTACAACTTGGGCTATTCGTACTTGGCACCATGGCTGCAAACGGCCAGGCGATGCCAGGCGATGCCAGCAGTCAAAGGCATTCTTGAATCAGTGTCCCTTGTTGAGTTTCAGTGTTGCGTCAGGGATTTCCGCTTCTGCGGATAAACATATTCCCTTGATTGCACTTGCTTGAGTAATTACGCATTGGTCAGGGTACTTTTGTGTTTGCTTTGGTTTCGGCCCAAGTATGGTTTATTATGGTTAACAACCAAGGGGAAAAAACAAATCCCGCAGAAAAACCACAAAGCGAGAGCAGTTTAGTGCGGAGGATACCAGACTTTCTCCTGTTTGAGGTGGGCCAGGGTCGACAAACCAATGCCACTCTTGCAGCCCAGTGGTTCCGACGGGCTGCAGAAGGCAACAGCAGCAATGGTCACACGGTTGCAATTTGTTTGGGACACTGAGATGACTTGGTAAACATCTTGGTCCGGTCCCTTAAGTCTGCCCCCTGAGGCCAATTCATGATGGGAGCCTTGGCTGAGATAAACTGAGATACCGAAAATTGCTTACAAGGCCATGGAATTTGAAGAGAAACCAAAAATAACCAAACCATGTATTTTTTGTTCTTTTTAGCTTGCCGAGGTTCCTGCCAATGCCAACGCCGATATTTGAATTTGAGTCCTAAAATGTATTATTATTATTATTATTTTGTCTGAGCATCTTAGCCATTGATTTCCAGGAGATATATAACTAGTATGAAGTTACCAAACACAAACAAACACACATAGATAGATAGATAGATAGAGATAGAGATAGAGATAGAGATAGAGATAGAGATAGAGATAGAGATAGATAGATATAGATAGATATAGATAGATATAGATAGATATAGATAGATATAGATAGATATAGATAGATATAGATAGATATAGATAGATATAGATAGATATAGATATAGAGAGATATAGATAGATATAGATAGATATAGATAGATATAGAGAGATATAGAGAGATATAGAGAGATATAGAGAGATATAGAGAGAGATAGAGAGATATAGAGAGATATAGAGAGATATAGAGAGATAGAGAGATAGACAGATAGACAGATAGACAGATAGAGAGATAGACAGATAGACAGATAGAGAGATAGAGAGATAGACAGATAGACAGATAGACAGATAGATATGTAGACAGATAGACAGATAGATATGTATATCTATATCTATGTCTATGTCTATATCTCGACACATGCTTAGCACTGCACATTGATGACTTGGCAATTTGGATCGCCCACTGAGGATTGCTGCATAGCCAAGGTCGCGGTGTTGCTGCGGATCCCGAGATGGCAGTGCAATGGTACCGACGAGCTGCCGAACAGGATCAAGGCGCCTCGGAAACCACGGCAGATGTCAGGTGGTCATGGCAGATTTCTTTTGGGGCGACCTTAGAAATCAGAAAACCTTGAGCCGCAGGATTTTTCAGGTTTGAGTTTGGACATTTTTTTTGGTGACAAGACCCTATGGTTGTCGGACTAGTATCTGCACACATTTGCAACACCACTTGTCAATTCCACTGACAAAACACCCAAGGCCAGGCGCAATACAAGTTGGCAGCTGCGCTGGAAGCAGGATGGGGCTTTACCCTAAAGTTTGCAGGGAGCCATTTTTTTCTTGTCATGGATTGCAACTTTAGCCTTCATAATGCCTTCATGAACTTGATCCAACTTCAGGACATGTTGGCATTTTTTTGCATAAATTTGGCCCCAAAACCAGTTTGAGTTGCCAGCAACATCTACTGTAGTGGTACTCGTAGCCAGCAACAGGTTCATACCAAGTAGGTCGGTTGAGTCTCCAGTCCCCAGGCCATGGCGTGCCAAGCGACCAAGCAGAGGCAGACTATTGGTATGCTAAGGCAGGTGCCCTCAGCGATCGAAGATCATCGAAGCCGTGACAGCTGTGAAGCCATGGCCTGGCTCGCGTAAGTAGAGGGTCAGTATGGGTCAGTATGGGTCAGTTACATATGTGATTTCATAATATGGATTTTCAGTTGAACACATTTGGTCGACATATTTCTGCACAACAAGTCACCACAGCACCCGAGAGATTGAGAAAATTTGAGAACACATGTCAATGTCTAGATGATTGTGCGTTAATAAATAGATGTACATTTCTATACATTTCTGCTTCCAGTGTGGTGCTATCACTAACTGTGGCTGTCACTGGTGTCACTGGTGTCACTGGTGTCACTGACCTCAGGCAGCAGTTCATGGCTACAGGCGGTCACACCTCAGCAGCTTGTGGCATTTCGTGCGTGACTTGTGCGACAAATAGGAGAGAGAGAGGATAGAAATTGAAATGCGGCTCTCGAAAGTGCGTGGTTCCTCATGGCTTCTAGGCCTCCAATGGAAAAATGTAATCATTCTTTCACATCACCATGAATGTGTGTTTAGGATTTTTATATAGTATTGAAATACATGTTGAATATTGCAAGGCACAGTCTGCGATCGTCAGCGTTCCCTTTGCAAATGTTTTTGTAGAGCATGCACAGGCATGCCCTGTGCTGACAGGGCGCAGCAGCAATGGTTTTGCCTTTTCTGTCCTTTTGGTGTCATATCCTGAGGTGGCATTTTCAGCACTTTCTCTCGGACAAGCAGAGGAAAAGAGTTGTGAAAACCGACGCGCTGCAATGCTTAGAATATGTTGGGTCCATCCAAGATGCCATTGGGCATATATATTATTGATTTCTTGCTGCGAATTATTGCCGCAATCTTGCCTAAATTTGCCCTTTTTCAACATGCTTGCCAGATAATTCGCCACTTGTTTGCTGTAAGGATCCATGACCGCTTCCATGCTGTGAAGTCTCAGCTCCGTTAAGGCCTTGGGAGCGACCGTAGCCTCGCCTGCAGCCTCAGAACGGCAGTTGGGCTCTGGAGCTTTTGCCTTCCCCGCCTTGATCCTTTTATGCCCTTTTAGATCCTTTTAGTCCTTCAGGATTGAGGACTTTGTTCCTGTGCCACGTGTCCTATCTTGGGTTCTCCCATTTGTCAAATCTTGTCACAGTGTCCGGGAGATTTTGCCGGTCACATAGGTTATGCAGAACAAGATGGCATATCATATCGTATCATATCGCATCACAATCGGGCAGACTTAAATAAAGATTTTGTATGATTTTGGTGACGATTCAGGATCAGAGCGGGGTGGTCTACTCACGATCCGGTTTGCATCCAGTAGGCATTTCAAATCAAGATAAATCAAGTAAACTCAATGACTTGCGTGCAACAGAATTGTGCAACAGAAACAATAGTTTGACGATGTTTGACGTGCATCCTGCCGCATCCTACTGAGTCCTGCTAAATTGATATTTTTTTTGTAGAGCTACTGCTAAGCCCCACGACTCCTGTCGGATCTGCTCGTCCACGGCAGGGTGCCATTTTCCCGGATTGGTATGCTGGCAACACGGAGAGGCTATGGCTGGATGAGTCGTAAGATGTCGTAAGAATCCACCGGGTGATGGCTGATCGATCTGTGAACTATTGCCACTTGAAGAGGCCTTGGGTGACGTAATATCTCGTAAAAGGATGTAAAAAGGGCTTTGTTGAATGTGCAGATGCGTTCCATTTTGCTTTATATCCATTCAAAGGCAAATGCATTCGGGCACATTCCGGAACAGAACGTCCATGTGTTTTTATTTGTTTTTATAGTTAATGCATGTCAATGCATGTCATTGCATGTCAATGCCATCCGGCGGTCAACGCTGGAAACGCATACCCTCAACTACTTAAGGTCTAGAAGGCCCCCCCCTGGAGGGGCTAGGGTCTAGAGGTCTAGACTGATAATTAGAGCATTGTAGACCCTTCCCAGTGGTACCACTCTAGACCCTTGGAATTTGGAGGTTTTGAAGCTAGCAAAAAATGAAATATAAAATCATAGCATTCTGGGGCCCTACTGTCAGGAAGCCATATTTTTTTGGTTCACCCCAAATCCCTAGCAACACAGATTGGAAGCAAAAATAAAGGGATTCTGAAAGAGAGTTTCTGGATGGTTCTGGAATATGATACGAAATATGTTTAGTTTTCGAACAGGTCTTTTCAAAACTATCATCATCCATGGCATCCATGGCATCCTTTAGTTTTCAAAATCGTTTGGTCCCGCGCTTCTCCTCCTTCGGGGGCATCTCTTTCTTCAACCACACCATGGCACGTTGTGACTCCTGCCAAATTCAAGGAAATCAGGGCCAACAAAAATTAGATCGACTGCTTGAGGGGTCTGGACTTGAATCATACCAGGGGCACAGCTTTATCACATAAAAGAGCGCCAAGGCAAAGCATTCAAGACCCCACAGGTTGGTAAATACATCTGGACATTACCTCACGACACACATGGCTGGGCACACCAAATTGATAGTCAACAACATATTCTGTGTGCATCCAAGGTCTAACTTCAAATCCAATCAGGGCCCCACAGGCATTTGAACACCACATCCCAAAGTAAACCAAAGGAGACCCCGGTTAGCAAAATGACTTCAAAAAAATCGACTTCAAAAAAATCACTAATTTAGGTGAACACCGTCAACAAATGTGAACAACATGGAATGTCTCATGTTGATACTTTCAAGATCTTTCAAGCATCACCTTGAGTAACCAATGCTTTCTGCAAATGGTTTCACAACCTTCAACCACATCAAAGCCCAGCAAACAACGAAGCATAGGGTCTAAAATGTTTTTCACCCAGCGTATCTTGACCTCTGTGTCCTTGTAAAAGCACACAAACCTTTTCAGACCCTTTACAGCACCTAACTCCTTAACAGGAACTATGGAAAAAATAGATCGAAGGGTCTGAACTTGAATCATACCAGGGGCACAGCTTTACCACATAAAAGAGCGCCAAGGCACACCACATCCCAAAGTAAACCAAAGGAGACCCCGGTTAGCAAAATGACTTCAAAAAAATTTGACTTCAAAAAAATCACTAATTTAGGTGAACACCGTCAACAAATGTGAACAACATGGAATGTCTCATGCTGATACTTTCAAGATCTTTTAAGCATCACCTTGAGTAACCAATGCTTTCTGCAAATGATTTCACAACCTTCAACCACATCAAAGCCCAGCAAACAACGAAGCATAGGGTCTAAAATGTTTTTCACCCAGCATATCTTGACCTCTGTGTCCTTGTAAAAGCACACAAACCTTTTCAGACCCTTTACAGCACCTAACTCCTTAACAGGAACTATGGAAAAAATAGATCGAAGGGTCTGGACTTGAATCATACCAGGGGCACAGCTTTATCACATAAAAGAGCGCCAAGGCAAAGCATTCAAGACCCCACAGGTGGGTAAATACATCTGGACATTACCTCGCCACACACATGGCTGCGCACACCAAAATGATAGTCAACAACATATTCTGTGTGCATCCAAGGTCTAACTTCAAATCCAATCAGGGCCCCACAGGCATCTGAACACCACATCCCAAAGTAAACCAAAGGAGACCCCGGTTAGCAAAATGACTTCAAAAAAATCGACTTCAAAAAAATCACTAATTTAGGTGAACACTGTCAACAAATGTGAACAACATGGAATGTCTCATGTTGATACTTTCAAGATCTTTCAAGCATCACCTTGAGTAACCAATGCTTTCTGCAAATGATTTCACAACCTTCAACCACATCAAAGCCCAGCAAACAACGAAGCATAGGGTCTAAAATGTTTTTCACCCAGCATATCTTGACCTCTGTGTCCTTGTAAAAGCACACAAACCTTTTCAGACCCTTTACAGCACCTAACTCCTTAACAGGAACTATGGAAAAAATAGATCGAAGGGTCTGGACTTGAATCATACCAGGGGCACAGCTTTATCACATAAAAGAGCGCCAAGGCAAAGCATTCAAGACCCCACAGGTGGGTAAATACATCTGGACATTGCCTCGCCACACACATGGCTGCGCACACCAAAATGATAGTCAACAACATATTTTGTGTGCATCCAAGGTCTAACTTCAAATCCAATCAGGGCCCCAGAGGCATCTGAACACCACATCCCAAAGTAAACCAGAGGGAGACCCCGGTTAGCAAAATGACTTCAAAAAAATCGACTTCAAAAAAATCACTAATTTAGGTGAACACCGTCAACAAATGTGAACAACATGGAATGTCTCATGTTGATACTTTCAAGATCTTTTAAGCATCACCTTGAGTAACCAATGCTTTCTGCAAATGATTTCACAACCTTCAACCACATCAAAGCCCAGCAAACAACGAAGCATAGGGTCTAAAATGTTTTTCACCCAGCGCATCTTGACCTCTGTGTCCTTGTAAAAACACACAAACCTTTTCAGACCCTTTACAGCACCTAACTCCTTAGCAGGAACTATGGCGCCAAAAATAGATCGACAGGGTCTGGACTTGAATCATACCAGGGGCACAGCTTTACCACATAAAAGAATGCGCCAAGGCACACCACCATCCCAAAGTAAACCAACCAGCCCAGCAAACAACGACCCCGGTTAGCAAAATGACTTCAAAACTCCTTAACAGGAACTATGGAAAAAATAGATCGAAGGGTCTGAACTTGAATCATACCAGGGGCACAGCTTTACCACATAAAAGAGCGCCAAGGCACACCACATCCCAAAGTAAACCAAAGGAGACCCCGGTTAGCAAAATGACTGACTTCAAAAAAATCACTAATTTAGGTGAACACCGTCAACAAATGTGAACAACATGGAATGTCTCATGCTGATACTTTCAAGATCTTTTAAGCATCACCTTGAGTAACCAATGCTTTCTGCAAATGATTTCACAACCTTCAACCACATCAAAGCCCAGCAAACAACGAAACATAGGGTCTAAAATGTTTTTCACCCAGCGTATCTTGACCTCTGTGTCCTTGTAAAAACACACAAACCTTTTCAGACCCTTTACAGCACCTAACTCCTTAACAGGAATTATGGAAAAAATAGATCGAAGGGTCTGGACTTGAATCATACCAGGGGCATAGCTTTATCACATAAAAGAGCGCCAAGGCAAAGCATTCAAGACCCCACAGGTTGGTAAATACATCTGGACATTACCTCACCACACACATGGCTGGGCACACCAAGCTGATAGTCGACAACATATTCTGTGTGCATCCAAGGTCGAACTTCAAATCCAATCAGGGCCCCACAGGCATCTGAACACCACATCCCAAAGTAAACCAAAGGAGACCCCGGTTAGCAAAATGACTTCAAAAAAATCGACTTCAAAAAAATCACTAATTTAGGTGAACACTGTCAACAAATGTGAACAACATGGAATGTCTCATGTTGATACTTTCAAGATCTTTCAAGCATCACCTTGAGTAACCAATGCTTTCTGCAAATGATTTCACAACCTTCAACCACATCAAAGCCCAGCAAACAACGAAGCATAGGGTCTAAAATGTTTTTCACCCAGCGTATCTTGACCTCTGTGTCCTTGTAAAAACACACAAACCTTTTCAGACCCTTTACAACACCTAACTCCTTAACAGGAACTATGGAAAAAATGGAAAAAATAAATCGAAGGGTCTGGACTTGAATCATACCAGGGACTGTCAGGAAGATGATCAGGCTGAGGAGTCTGATAATTCAGGGTCGGACTGATCTACTTGAAAGCCATTTTTTTGAAAACCATTTGGAACAGTTTTGAGCTA